TATTAAAATATTGTTTAAATAAAAAGGTCTTGGCCTGGCGCCGAAAAACAAATAACTCTTTTAGCTGCTTCCCTTAATTTCTTGTATTGTTAAGCCCAGTACTTTTCTTCATCCTTTCTTGCCTCTCTCTGGAACTTGGCATTTAGTCTTTGCATTTCTTCCCTGTCACCGATGGCTTTGCTTTCCTTCTCTCTTCTGCAGTCTTTATTGTGGCTTCTGATATCCACCTTGCCAATTTCATTCGTTTCTCGTGTTGAATGCCTTTCTGGGCTGCTTCAGTGACTGTTGGTTTTATTTCCTCCCATAGTTCATCTGGTTGTTTTTCTGTGATGTTGAGCAGTTCAAATCTGCTTCTAACTTCATCGGCATATGCCAAGGGAATCTCCTCAACATCAAATTTTTGGTCGTTTGGCACTGTAGCACCTGAACTTTACCTTGGCGACTAGTAGTTTGTGGTCTGACCCACAGTCTTCACCAGAAAAGGTTTTCACGGTGAGAATGGAATTTTTCCACTTTCTTTGGTATAAGATGTAGTCGATTTGGTTTCAATGTTCGCCATTTAGGGAGGTCCAAGTATCTAATCACCGCTTGTGTTGCTCAAACCACAGCAGAATTACAGTTGCAACAAAATGGAAAACGGAAGATTGTGCAGCTAGAGAAGACTGGAAAAATAAGCTAGCTGAGTACATAATGATGTCAAAATTAACCAACTATGTAAACAGAAGACTGCTCCTGATATATGGGAAGATTTTATGCATATTAATGAGACAACAAAGAGATCTTAAGTATGATTAAGCTGATGCATCTTTTAATAACTCATAAAAAAAGAAATCCACTTAATGAATTAAGTTACAATTGGAAATCCTATCAATTTTTATTTTATCTGTAATGGCGAGAAAAAACTGGAATTTTTGGATATCATTGTTTTCTGAAAGAAGGAAGGGAGGAAGAGGCGGAGAAGGGGAAATGGATGGGGAGAGGAGGGGAGAGAGAAAAGAAAGGGGAAATTAGTTCTTACTTGGTTCCTGGATAAGTGAATCCTGCCTGCCTTGTCTATGTTAAAGCAATTTCCCCTGTGAAATTATTAGTTGTATTTGGCTACTTACTAGTCTATTCAAGCATTATCTATATGTATCATCATGTAAAATTGTAGTTATAAATCCAGATGCAGTAAAGTCTGTCATGGATTCTTTGTAAAACTTCTTGCATCTAGCTGTATAAGCGATTTGAGTATGTGGTCCCTTGGCAACTTCTTCTTACTGTTTCTTATTATTTACAAAACATTATATGTATGTGTGGTAACCAAAAAGTCTCCAAAGAATCAAGCATTTGTTGGCCACTCATGTGCTGTGATCTGTATGACAATTTTTCTGTTATTGCTGTCTTCCATACAGAATTGTAGCTTTCATTCCAATCTGTAAATTTAAAATCCTTCCAGTGTGAGACTGTTACTTTTCTAGCGGGAAATAAAAGATGTGAAATGAGCTCCATAGGAATATTCTTTTCCAGGAATACCTCCAATAGGGCCAGTTCAGAGTCAACGGGTACCCCTGCTTTAACAATCTGAGTAATCCCAGGGAGAACCGCGGTCTGGAATCGATGGATCACGGCACATTCCCACATGTGGGTGGGTGCCAACCCCTTGGCCCCCCTCCAGCACATACAGGAGGTGCTGGACGTCGTAAGTGTCAATGTTCTAGGAAACAGACACCAACCCTGAATTACCCCAGCAATGTCTCCCTGGCGTTAGCAGATAAAGCCATCTCCTTTCCCCCAGATACTCAGCCAAGCAGCATCACCCACAGAAGTAGATCACTTTACCTCCCAGTGTTGCTTCAGACAACTCCTTTTGCTCTCCCGAGACCAAGAGTGTCCTGTGAATAGTTCACACCATTACTTTAATGTAGGCCCTATCATGATCAATTACTTTCTCAGAACTAATGAAGCTCCAAACTGCCTGGTCCTTTACACACTTGCTTGGAAGGGCAGAATGTAGTCAAGAGTTGTATGATAGCAAAATTTACTGCTTGTTTGATCTCTGAAAATGTGAGTGGAATCTTGTTTCATCTTTGAGTCTGTATGATACCGTCTCCCTCTCCATCCTTTGAAATCGGAAATTGGCCTCTCGTGAAGGGGCAGCAAAGGTGAATCCCCTGGGACAAGGACTGCAGACTTCCAGACGCAAACACAGAGCAGGTGATGATTTAAATGTGTGCTTCATAAATGGAGCAACTATCAGAGGGACCCCGTCCTGTGTTAGTTTCTCTAGAGGCACCTGTTGGGATCTTCTCAGATGAAATCAAACGCTGCCACAATCCATACCAGTGCTCAGTGGGTGGAAAGCATTTCAGTCAGAGGAAGAGCCTTCAAGGACACCAAATATCCACACAAGGAAGAGTCTGCACATGTTTTGAGCAAGCAAGGACTTAGAGCGATCACAGGGGGCTTAAGACTCATCAAAGACTCACATAGCAGAGTAGCCATATAAACATGTAGAGTGTGCAGGGAGCTGACCTAATAGCTCAAAGCATAAACCACATCAAAGATTTGATTCAGGGGAGAAATCCTATAAATACTCATAGGGTGGAAAGAGCTTCAGTTGGAGCTGCCATTATCTGAGAAATGTTGCTCTGACCCAGAAGTGCCCCCAAACCTTTCTTCCCCAAATGATCCTTCTAAGCCCTTGCAAAGATGACGGGCAGTCAAGAAAGGGTGGGGATCAAAGATGCAAGAGCCTGGCTGCTCTTTGAATTCCCTCGAAATGCTAAAATCTTACTAGCCAGTGGAAATGACCAACTAGACAACTACCTCTTCTAAAACTGGGACTCTCAACTTCGCCTGACAATGGATGATGAATCTTTTTCGTAAACAAAAAGGGAACTCTGTTGAGGGCTTTCCCGTTTGGCTGGCTCTAGGGGGGCCACAGCACTGCCCAAGGCGTGCAGAATTTGTCCATCTAGTAAGAACTGTCCCAAAAGCACCTGGACTGAGCTTCGTAAAGTGCAACCGTAAAGGGGAGCCTGGGGGGGGGGGGTGCTTTCAAAGATGTTTTATTCATGCAGATTCTGTCTGAAACATACTAAATGGAGGACTTTTGACGATGAATTGATTTCGTCCTCCCTCTGCATGCCGCTAGTCTGTCCTTTTTCTGCCTTCGCATTTGTAGACACAGGGATGGGGAGGAGGTTTGCTTGATCGCCTGTTGCCAGGACTGTAAAATGGAACGGGGAGCACGGCAGCTTGAAGGCAAATAAGAAGCAAACGGGCCCAGTAAACATTGGATTTTTGGACACAAACTCATATGCTCAAGCGAACCCCTTAAAGCGCAGACCTGGTAGCTGAGAATCCAGCTGTGTGCCTTCGCTTCCGATGCACGCTAAACGCATTCCTATGCGCTGACACCCCCCCCAGCTTGACTCCTGAAAAAGCCTATCCGGTGGGGAGGGTGCATTACCGCCGGCATTCTTCCCAACGGTGAGGAACCGAGGGTGGATCGCACAGCTCCATTTTGTGCTCGCAACACCACCCCTGTGAGGTAGGTCGGGCACGAGCGAGGGACTGGCCCCCAGCCACCCGGGGAGCCCCATGGCTGAGAGGGGAGCGGAACCCCCATCGCCCAGACCCGAGTCCCACAGGCTGACCACCGGAGATCGGGCACTCGTTACCCGCCCCCGCGCACACTGGGAAATATGGTAGGGGAGACATGCGCAAAAAGCGGGCGGGGGAGGGAGGGGGCCTTCTGTGAGTACCACATGCCCCCCCATCATCATCTCGCGGGCCAAGCTCGCGTGGGGGGGGGCGCGGAAAGCTTCTGCACCGAGAGCGCCCGCGAGGCGGGGCATCTGGCAGCGCGGCGGCGCACCGCCTGCGCCAGGACCGGCCCCGTCGTTCCCCGCCGCGCCCGTCTGTGCGCCCGCAGGGACGGCGCTCGGGGGCTGGCGGGGCAGCGGGGCGGAGAGCTCACCCCTCCCGGCACCGCCCCCGCCCGCGGCCGGGAAGGGCCCCCCTGCAGCACGCGCGGCACAGCGGCTCCGCGGAGATGCAGGGGAAGGGTTAAGGCGAGGGAGAGGCGCGTTCCTAGAAGGGACGGAGAGCGCCCCGGTTCCCAAGACGACCGGGCAGCGCTCCCAGCAACCGTCGCTCGCGATGCGCAGGCGCGGCTTCCAGCACTGGGGAGGCGGTGCCCGCGGCGGGGTCCTGGGAAGGCGCACGCCCGAAAGGCCCCTGCGGGGAACCCTCCCCTTCGCCCCCCACGGGCATCCCGGCCGGGGAGCAGGAACGCGGTACGTGGGGCCGGAGGGGAGGCCGTGGGAGTCCTGCCCCTTTGCAGGCTGCTGCTGCGGAGAAGAGGGGAGGTGGCCCGGGCGAAGCCGGGGGGAGGGCAGAGCCCGAGCCTTGAGCCGGGGGGTGGGGGACGCGGGGCAGCCCTTCTCCTCCCGCTGCCTCGGCAGCCAGCAGAATTCCCCGCCATAGGAAGCGGCGCTCTCCCGCGTAATAATTATTACTCTTTCGCGTAATAATTCCGCTACTCTTTCGCGTAATAATTCCGCTGGAGATCTTTGTCGTATGGCATGTCGTGTGGCTCCATAGGCTTGAAGAAGGGCAGTAGTCCAAGGAATCCAGGCCTTACCTCCCAGTTTGGATGTCTTTGGGGTTTCTATTGGAAGAAGTGCCACGGGCACCACATTCATGGCGCCAAACCAGCTTCCCAGATGATCCCACCACCAGGATGAATGCAAGGCCTCCTCTTGCCCAAGCTCCTCGTGAACTGGTGTATGCGGGCATGGCAGACATGTTCAACAGGGATAGCAGGAAATCAGGGAAGAAAATGCCATGTGTGGCTGCTAGTCATTGTGGCTTCTTGGTGGCCACATGCTGAGAGGCAGTACGCTGGTGTGCATCACTTGGTGGGGACCATGTTTGGAAGGAGGGGGTTAATCACACAATAACCATGTGGGTTTCCCATGGGCATAGGAGAGTAGAGTCAGAAGTGGCCACTCATAAGTTCGACCCTGGGGACTGGCCATCTTGTGAGCAGCATGCTGGAGAGGGTCCCGTGGTCTTATCCAGTGTGGCTCTTCTGAGGCCCTCAGTCAGTGTAAAGGAGGATGTGTTTACATACAAAAAGCAGATGTGGTATAAATGAATAAACAAGGTATAAACAAATGCCTGTTTCTTGTAGGAAAGGGGTGGTGGAAGGATTTGAAATGGGGTCTGGGGTTGGGTTGGCAACAGGTGTATCTGTGTTTTCCTCCCTCTCTCCTCTTTTTCTCAAAAAAGATCCGACAGTGCAGCAACGAGGCCCTTCAGGTCCTGCTTAAAGCAGAAATGGAGAATGGAGTTAAGATGAAAGAGCAGGACTTGCCTGGCTGTGAGGCAGGAAGCGGCTCTCATGAAATCCCGCAACGGAGCAGTATAGAGCTCTGGGAAAGAGGCATGGAGGAGGACATGGGTGCGAGCAGACTCAGCTCAGATGCGGCTCGCAAGCACTTCAGGCAGTCGGGCCTCTACCTGGAGGCTGAGGGGCCCCGAGCAGTTTGCAGCCACCTCCACCGTCTCTGCCGTCAGTGGCTGCGGCCAGAAAGCCACACGAAGGCTCAGCTGCTGGACCGTGTGACCCTGGAGCGGTTCCTTGCCATCCTTCCCCCACGGCTGGAGAGCTGGGTGAGGGAGTGCGGAGCAGAGACCAGTGCCCAGGCAGTGGCCCTGGCCGAAGGCGCCATGCTGAGCCAGGCAGGGAAGAGGAAGCAGGAAGAGGAGCAGGTGAGCGCTTTTCCTCCTCATAACTCCAAGGGACTACGACTTTAAAACTCCCTTCCAGGGGCCTGGTTTTGATGCCTGTTTCTCAAGGATGTGCCAGTTTCCCGTGTCTCCCTGCCCCAATCCACACCAGGCCCGTTTTGAATGTGTGGGGCAGGCTCTCTTGGGAGCATCCAAAGTACCTTCAGTAGGTTCATTTGTTTTGCTCCTCAAGAGGAGAAGGTCCTTTTCACGTAGCGGGAGAATCCTCCTGGTGGGACGAGGAGCAGCGAAGGAACATGCGGAGTTGCTCGGGATCAGTCACCATCTCAGCTTCTCCCTCCCTGCTGACTGAATCCAGGAGGCTCTTTGTGGCCTTCGACCAGGACTGAGCCATCAACCCAGCAAAGGGATCCTTCCCTGCTCGTCTCAAGTCCACTCAGCCTGGACTTCTGCAGGGCTTGGGGAAGAGGCCCGAACGGCACACCTGTGGGAATCTTCTCTTTTCCTAATACCTGCATCCCTTCCCTTACCTGTACTCTGCATTGCTGTTCCAGGTTCAGCGAATGGTGGACAAAGCAGCCGCAGGGTTCCCAGTGGCAGAGAAGGCTCCGTTGGATCCCACACTGGGGCTCCTGTCTAGGGGGATCATGCAGGGAGTAGACAGGGGACCCTTGTCTTCTGTTAAGGGTGAGTGGGCCCATTTCAACCTCGTCTACCATCTGCTCTGTGCCCAAAGTGCCTGAGGTGATTAAGCTTCTCTTGAGCTTCCTTTGGGGTGGAGGGAAACTCTTCCCCAGTATTTGCTCCAAACCATGGAAAGGCAGATTGTCCAGTATATAGATAAACACATTGAATGATTTCACACAAGAAATTAAATGACTAAAAGTTCTTCAAAAACACAGTTTCTTCTCTGATCTCTTTCCTGTCTTTAGAAAAGGGAACAGCCTGTAGGGAGGATGGAATGACACTCAGCATTCCTTCAAGGCCTCCTTCGGCTTGTGGTGGAGGGGAAACATCTTCCCTACATGCAGAAAAGGTAAGAGAGGCCTGAGGGCCTTTCTCCCTCCCCCTAGACCTGGCAGAATCAGCCCCTTTGCCTTTGCTTCCATCCCAGGAGGAGGATCAGAGGCTTCCGGAATCACCCGCAGGGGAACCTCCAGCCCCCTCCCCACCGCCGTCTCCCTGCATGGCTGTGATGAACGCCTTCCTCTTCCCCAGGGTGTGACGAGCCTCGAGGAGGTGGCCGTGCATTTCTCGGAGGACGAGTGGGCCCTGCTGGACGCTGGCCAGAGGGCTCTGCACCAGGAGGTCACAGAGGAGATCCTGGCTTCTCTGGGTGAGGAACGCGGCCCCTCCAGATGGGGCTGCTTCTTTCCTTCCATGGTAGATCCTGGGTGGCAACATTCCAGGCTCAGCTTCTATGTAGGAGGCATTTGTGTGAATGCATTTCCGGTCAACTCTGGTATATCCACCTTGGGTGGACATTTAAGAAGCCTAATCACTTTTTCTGAGAGACACAAGGGAGCAGATTCTTTGAGACTCGGAGGCTTCTCACCTCCAGCTTGGCCTCCTCTTCGTGGCACCTCTAACACGACACATTTCGGTGAACACACCGGAAATGTAGGTCCAGTAGAACAGTGACACAAGCCAGCAGGAATGCCCTAAGAGTCTACCATGACTGCTGGATTCAAAAGTTGCAAGTACATCCAAAAGAGCTGTCAGCAATACTCACTCTCCGGTTCCTGGTTTCCAAACCAGCCAGGAAAAAATGGCAGGTCCTGCTGTCGATGCTGGATTTTTAGATTTTTAATGCCTTCCTTTCTGTTGGGGTACCACGTGTGGGATGCCTTGGAGGAAACACACCCAACCACGAGGAATTGCCTCCACCCCAGTCATTTTTGATCATGTTGATCATATCAGCAACCCATTGGGTTTTTTCTGTCTGTTGAGGCATAATTTTCTTTCTGTTCTTTCAGCGGATTGCAGGGGGAGCAACAGAAACAGTGTGCATCAAGGACAGGGGACAGCAGACAAAGAAAACTGTTGTGATGAGTCCATTTCTTTTGAGCGGGCCGAGTTCTGTGCTGTTCCAATGGCACCTTCTGAAGGAAGGAATAAGAATATTTGCAGTGGGGAAAGACGGTGGGGAAACTCCAAGGACATAAGGAGGCAACAGATCCAGCTTTCCAGGAAGCAAGATATTGACAAAGAGGGGAATTGCTTCAAGTGCTTGAAGTCTGAAAAGAAATTCAGTTGTAGGTCAGACTCTAACACAGAAAAAAGAATTCCCACGGGGAAAGAACCAGACAAATGCTCAGAGGGGAATGAGTGTTTCAGTCCTAATGAAAGCCTTCCCTCACATCAAACAGGTTGCATAAGCAAGAGACCTTACAAGTGTTTGGAGTGCGGAAAGTGTTTTGCTAAGAGAGGCTGGCTTCAAGCACATCAAAAAAGCCACATAAGAGAAACACTGTATAAACGTTTAGATTGTGGAAAGGGCTTCCCTCAGAATTCAAATCTTGTATCTCATGAAACTATTCCCAAAGCTGGGAAACCTCATAAATGCTCGCAGTTTGGAAAGAGCTTCAGTGAAATCATGGGCCTTGAAAAACATCTCTCAATCCACACAAAAGAAAAGCCCTTTCAGTGCTCAGTGTGTGGAAAGAGTTTCTGTCAAAATGTAAACCTTAAGGTACATCAGAGAATCCACACAAATGAGAAGCCTTTTAAATGCTCAAAATGTGAAAAGGCCTTCCGTCACAGCATGAGCCTTAAAAGGCATTTCACAATCCACACAGGAGAGAAGCCCTTTCAGTGCTCTGTGTGTGGAAAGAATTTCCGTCAAAACATACACCTTAAACTACATCAGAGAATCCATACAAGGGAGAAGACCTGTACTTGCTCTGAATGTGGGAAGAGCTTCCTTGACCACGGAAGGCTTAAAAAACATGAAAAAATTCACTTGGGGGAGAAGCCGTATAAATGCTTAGATTGTGGAAATGGCTTCTCCCAGAATTCAAACCTTGTATCTCATGAAACAATTCTGGAAGCTGGGAAACCTCATAAATGCTCCCAGTGTGGAAAGAGCTTCAGTGAAAACATGGGCCTTAAAAAAGATCTCGCAATCCACACAGAAGAGAAGCCCTATAAATGTCCTGATTGTGGAAGGAACTTTGCTCAAAAATCACACCTTAACTCACATAAGGTAATTCACACAGGAGAGAAGCCCTTTCAGTGCTCTGTGTGTGGAAAGAGTTTCCGTCTAAATGATCATCTTAAGGTGCATCAGAGAATTCACACAAATGAGAAGCCATTTAAATGCTCAAAATGTGAAAAGGCCTTCCGTCACAGCATGAGCCTTAAAAGGCATCTCACAATCCACACAGGAGAGAAGCCCTTTCAGTGCTCAGTGTGTGGAAAGGATTTCCGTCAAAACATACACCTTAAGATACATCAAAGAATCCACACAAGGGAGATGACCTGTACTTGCTCTGAATGTGGAAAGAGCTTCCTTGATCGTGGAAGGCTTAGACATCATCAAAGAATTCACTCAGGGGAGAAACCATATAAATGCTTAGAGTGTGGAAAGTGCTTCACGTGGCACTTTCAGCTTAAGGTGCATCGAAGAATCCACACAGGGGAGAAGCCGTATAAATGTTTCAAGTGTGGAAAGACCTTTACTCACAAGACATACCTTAAGTCACATAAAAGAATTCACTTGGAAGAAAAGCCCATTCAGTGTTCAATGTGTGGAAAAGGTTTCCGCCATAACACAGAACTGAAAGTACATCAGAGAATCCACACAGGGGAGAAACCCTACACCTGCTCTGAATGTGGGAAGAGCTTCATTGATTGCACAAGGCTTAAAAATCATCAAAGAACCCACACAGGGGAGAAGCCCTACACCTGCTCTAAATGTGGGAAGAGCTTCACTTGGCAGTCTCAGCTTAAGTGGCACCAAAGAAATCACGCAGAGGAGAAGGCTTATAAATGCTTTGAGTGTGGAAAGAGCTTTGCTCAGCACTCACACCTTAACTCACATAAAAGAATTCACGTGGAAGAGAAGCCCATTCGGTGCTCAGTGAGTAGAAGGGGTTTCCGTCGAAACACACAACTTAAGTTACATCAGGGAATGCACAAAGAGGAGAAGCCCTACTCTTGCTCTGAATGTGGGAAGAGCTTCCTTCATGCCAGAAGGCTTAAACGGCATCAAATAATTCACACGGGAGAAACTTCTGTGTGAGTGTGGAAAGAGCTTCACTTGGCACTCCCAGCTCATGGTGCACCAAAGAAATCACACAGGGGAGAAGCCATATAAATGCTTGGAGTGTGGAAAGAGCTTTGCTCACAAAACATACCTTAACTCTCAGAATTCACATGGAAGAGCAGCCCATTCAGTGCTCAGTGTGTGGAAAAGGTTTCCACCATAACACACAACTTAAGGTACATCAGAGAATCCACACAGTGGAGAAGCCCTACACATGCTCTGAATGTGGGAAGAGCTTCATTGATTGCAGAAGACTTAAACATCATCAAAGAACTCACACTGGGGAAAAGCTGTATAACTGCCTTGAGTGTGGAAAGAGCTTTACTTGGCAATCTCAGTTTAAGATGCACCAAAGAAGTCACATAGGGGAGAAGCTATTTAAATGCTTGCAATGTGGAAAGGCCTTCTGTCAAAACATTTGCCTTAAAAGACATGAGAGAATTCGCAAAGGGGAGGAGCCCTGCGCATGCTTTGAATGTGGGAAGAGCTTCCTTGATTGGAGAAAGCTTAAACATCAAAAAATTCACTCAGGAGAAACCACATAAATGCTTTTGAGTGTGGAAAGGCTTAGCAGTTCAGAGCTTCAAAGACACCAGAGAATCCAGTCAGAGCGAAAACCATGTAAATGCTTAGAGTGTGGAAAGAGCTTTGCTCGGAAGGGAGAACATAACTTACATGGAAGAATCCACACATGGGAGAAGCACTTTGGGTGTTCAGTGTGTGGCAACAGTTTCAGTCATAGTAGCAACCTGAGAACACATGAAAATACTCATACAGTGAACCAGCTCTAAAAATGGTTTCAATTGAGGATTGAATTGAGAAATGTAGACTACAAGTGAGTCAGAATAGGCCTCACAGGCCATCTAGTTGGACCCCCGGCTCCAGCTACCTTCACTCGTGTAATCCAGAACATGTGGGTGTCCAATCTTTCCTTGAAACTCCTCACTGATAGGGCCTCAACCACCTCCCTTGGAAGCCCATTCCATATCCTAAGGGGTCCTGATCATCAGGAAGTACTTCCTGACTTCCAACCTGAAGTTCCTTGAGCTTTGCCACCTTGGAACTTGTTCTGCCCTCTACTGCAGGGAGGAACTGGCCATGGCCCTCCTCCATGTGACATCCCCTCACATACCTTTAAGTTACTCAAATATCCCCTTGGAGTCTTCTCTTCTCCACCCTGAAATGCCCCAGTTTGTTAAATCTCTCCATGTACGTCAGTCCTCCCAACCTGGCTGCCATTCTTGTGACCCTATGTTGATCGGATTCTAACCAAGCTATGTCTCTCCTAAAATGTGGATCCCAGCAATGGACACAGTCCTCCAGTTGCGGGTGCACCAGTGTCATGTAGGGCGGTATCAACATCTCCCAAGATCTGGAAGGCACACTTCTAGTTACACATCCACAGGTGGCGTTCGCCTTCTCAACTGCTGCATCACACTGCTAGCTCATGTTCAGCCTGCTGTTGACACATACCCTGAGTTCCCATTCACATGTGCTGCTCCCCAGCCACTTGTCCCCCATCCTGTACCTGTGACACCTATTCCGATGCCCCAAATTCAGGACCTTGCACTTATCCAGAGTGAATGCCATCCTGTTGTCCCCCGCCCACTACCACATCCTGTCCAGATCCTTGTGGATCTGGATCACCTGCTCCTCAGTTGTGGCCACCGCTCCACCCAGTTTTGTTGAAAACAAGTGGCTTAGGAGGGATTTTGAAAGAGAGTAGTAAATAAATATGGTTAAATATTGAAATATGACCTGAGATAGCTTTACTCTCAATATTTGATAGAAAACACTAGAGTTGGTATTTTAAAGAATTGGAAGCAAACTTAGTAACAGTTGCAAGATTAATTATAGCAAAGAATTGGAACATACTACATTATTATCAATGGAAGTTTGGAATGTAGCTATTCATGACAAATGTGTGATATTCGAGTGGGGAAAGGCTATATAGAAAAGAATACTTGTTATGATGTTTGGGGTTCATTTATGCATTGTGTGTATTTTAAAAAGGAGTGAGAAGGATTTTAACCTTCATGGGGTCATTGCAATTTTGGAAGGGGTATGGAATTTCTTGAAGGAAGTTTTGAAGGAACTTTTAAAATGTTTCCAGTGGTCCCAGTGGTGGGATGCACTGGGCTTTGTATAGTACAGTTTAACTGTATGTTTAATATTGCATGTTTTTTTTAATTCTATGTCTTGTAATTGTATTTCCCATTTTAGATTAATAGAAATTTAAAAAAACTGGTAATGGGCACAAGGGCATAGCTGTGTTCATTGAAGAGCTCCGTTTGATTCAGGCCCTGCAGGGAGCTCTTTGCACATTCTGTTTGCTGGCCGATTTCATTTCAGCATGTTCATTATCACACTTCAAAGGGGACTGCAGAATGATCCGTTCGCTCCGGAATGTCCACTGTCCTGGCTCCAAACCAGAGCTTCTGCTCATAAACTAAATGACTGTGGCTCATTTTTGCTGTTCTTTAAATTAAAACAATATTTACTCCTCATCTCCAATGTCCTTTCTTCCCCTCTTTATTATCTGGGCAAAATGCTTTTACTTTCAAACCTGTTTTTCTTACCAGGTAGACACTGACTCCCTGCTGCCTTAACTCTCCAGTGTGCTAATCGGAGGGGCGATGTGAATCTGGTTCACACTTTTCTGTCTAGCTAACTTGGAAATGGAAAAGACTTTTAAAGGAATGTACTGGCTTTGTGGCTCTCAGAGGTGATGGAGTGCACTGACTTGCATGACAACCCACCGTGGCTTATGCTGCACAGTGGCCTGTCTTTTGAATTCAGGATGGGTTTATTTTTGGCTTATTAGCCTCCATCACACTTCAAGCTTCTATTCAGGGTGGCTTGACCCATGATGGTTATATCATCTGAACTCCGATGATACAACCCATCATGGATCAAGCCCTGCTACAAATGCGCCACTTTGCTAGAGCAGCATGGTCATCTTGCCACTCTCGTCAAGCTGCCGTCAACCACCGCTGATGGCCTCAGTGGCATTGCGGGCGGCTGTCGGAGGCTTCCCCTTCACCCTGTCCAGCTGGCTGTAGAAGTCCTCATTCTCCATTCCTGCAGGGGGAACAGGGATCCCCAAAGCTGTCAGAACCAGTCCCTCCTCCCTCCACGGCCCACTGCCATGGTCATCAATTAGGGCTCATGCTGGGGACCGTCTGAGCAACGTAATGCCCCGGCTGCGGGCACACGGTCTCTTGGAATCCCCAGGAAAGCAGGATGCCAGCTGGAGGCTGACTCACCAGGAAGGGAGCTCCTCATCGTGCACAAAATAAGGTCAGGCAGCTTCCAGAGCGCTTCCAAATTGCTGACAAGGTGCACAGCGAGCTGGACTGCGAGGCAGGCTTCAGTCAGCCAGAATGGGCAGGCAGCGAAGGCTACCTCAATGTGCCGTGTGACTGGATTTTCTTGTGGGTTGTGTCAAGCTGTTCGTAGATCTGGGAGTTTCTCTGGCTGTTGCATGTTGACAGCATGTGGGGTTTGTCCTGTTTTTAAGTTGGATATTTGCAAACTGCCCAAGGAGAACAGGAGGAGGCAAGGTCAGACCAGGGTCGGAGTCCAGCGTTCAGCCGCCCCATGGGATCCCACCAGCCCCACACACAGGTGGTCTCGAGTGGCAACCTGAATGGCACACCATATGCTAAGCAAGATTTGGCCAAGTGCACTTGGATGCTGGCACTTTTCTTTGCTTTTCTTAAATGTCACTCCCCCTTCCCCTGGCTTGGAGGGATCCCTTTGGAGCTCCTCACACTCCCTATAGCCGCCCCCCCACAAAAAAAAAATCAAATTGGTGTCACCAGCAAGCCTCACCACTTCACTTCCCTCCCTTACTGAGCAGAACCACTGTCGGTTCTGAACAAGCCACATCAGAGTATGGCCCGACTGAATCTGGGCCAGGATGGCAGAGGCTCTGCCCACCGACTGAGAAGATGTCCAGGGCCTGCGCCCCCCTGGGCGTGCCTCCTCATCCAACCCCATGAGGCACGGCAACGGGAGGGCAGCCCATATCTCCTGGACCACCTTCTCCTCTTGGCAGGTGCCAGGCAGGAGGGGAGCAGACCAGGGGCTGCTGCAGCGCACTCCTCCCCACAGTCCTCGCCTGCCATTTCGGGACATGGCACTGGGCAGGGGGTGAGCAGGGCATGCCTGGGAAAGGCTGGGGGGGGGGGGGGCTTGTCTTGGACTCTCCTGAGTCCGGCTCCCCACGTGTCTGTCCCTTTCCTTGGCACCATTCTGAGGCTCACCGCTGCCCTTCCCAGCACCCGCCAGAAGGATGGCGCCCGCGAGCATCAGAGGCAGGGAGACTTTGGAAACACTGCCCTACAACAAGAGACTGAGGGAACTGGGCATGTCCAGTCTTGAGAGGAAAAGACTGAGAGAGGACGTGGTCTCCCTCTGTAAGTAGCTCAAAGACTGTCACAAAGAGGAAAGTCAAGATCTCTTCTTGCTGGTGCCACAGTATAGGATACGGAATAAACAATTCAAGTTGCGACAACCCAGATTCAGGCAGGACATCAGGAAAAGCTTCCTCACTGCCAGAGCAATACAACAGTGGAACCAGCTGCCTAGAGAGGTGGTGGGCTCTCCCACACGGGAGACATTCAAGGGGAAACTGGACAGCCACCTGAGTGGGATGGTGTGACTTGGTGTCCTGCAACAGAGGGCCTTGGACGCGATGGCCTTCACGGTCCCTTCCAACTCTACTATTCTATGATTTGATGAAAATTGCCAGCCTACTCACACCTGAGGCAGAAAGAGGAGACATTTCTAACATGGCAGAATCATGCAATAGAAGGGTTGGAAGGAATTCATGGAAGGGTGTGGGAAGGGGTGTTGAAATAGCAGATCCCTCCAGAGCACGTGGAGCTGCTCCAGACCACGCTAAGAGAAGCTCAGCTGCAGCATTTGCCACCCATCACGAAGGGAGACCCTGCGCTTAAGGCCGCCGGCCTGGACTGGGGGCTGCGATGTGGGCAGCCCTTGTGGGCAGCCCCAAAGTTGCTTGTTGCTGCGCGGAACAAGCTCTCCCTGACATTTTGGGGCCAGACTTGCCGGGCTGTCGGTGCACCACCAGTCAAGTTGAAGGGGGTGGGATCAGCTTATGTGGAGAACAACACACATCGGTCGGCCCATTTCTGCAGGTGTTGGGGAAAAACCCACTGCGGGCACTTTGTGTGATCAGGATGTCTCTGGCCCCAATTCAGAAGTGCAGGATTCTCTGCTGTAATGAGTGGATGGATGGACGGACGGGCCTAGTTTAGGTGAGGAATCTGGGGAAACCTGAAGAAAGCCAAGGAGCATGATGGGAATTCCTGGATGAAAGAAATGCTGACAGAGTGAAAGGTCACAAAGCTTGGCAGAAAGTCCCTAAGGTAACCTAATCTGAGACTGATCAGCTCGAAGTGGGTTTCCCTGGTGAGGAGGAAGGGATGAAGGGTAGTGTGAGTGAGTGAGCGTGGCTTCCCTTATAGTGTAGTCAGTAAAAGAGCTCTTGATTTGAACACTCCGGACTGGCTGTCTCTGTGTCCACGTCCGTCTCCACTCTCTGAGCTCTCAGGGTGGGAAGCAGCACTCAGGCTTGGAAAGGTCCCTTTGTGAGGGCATGCGCATGATGGCGAGGATGCATTATAGTCTGCGCTTTTCCTCCGGTGAGGAACCGAGGGTGGATCGCACAGCTCCATTTTGTGCTCGCAACACCAGCCCTGTGAGGTAGGTCGGGCACGAGCGAGGGACTGGCTCCCAGCCACCCGGGGAGCCCCATGGCTGAGAGGGGAGCGGAACCCAAATCTCCCGGGCCCTCAGTCCCACAGGCTGACCACTGGAGACGTGGGACGCCTATTCCCGCCCCAGTGGAAATTATGGCAGGGAAATATGCCCTAAAAGCGAGAAGGGAGCGCGGCCCGCAGGCCACGCTGCTGTGGGTCACATGCAGGGGAGACCCATTGAAGGGCCGCACCGCAAAGCGCCCTGTCCTGACAGCCCCGCTCAGGCCGGGGAAAGGCGAGGCGGCAGCTTCCTTCGTGGAATCGCCGCGTCACGTACCGCGGGGCGGCTTTAAATGCCACCAGCATCGGAGAGGTCAATTCAGAGGAGGCCGCGATCCTTGAAGAGGATCGGAGGGTCCCGCCTCCACCAGTCAGTCCGAGGCGCCCAATATAGGAAATAAGAGGGAAGGGTTAAGGTGAGAGAGAGCCGCCTTCCTAGAGGGGCTGCAGAGCGTCTTGGTTCCCAAGACGACCTGGCCGCGCTCCCAGCAACCTGCGCGCCCAATGCGCAGGCGCTGCTTCCAGCATCGGGGTGGGAGGAGGGGGTTCCTGGCGTGGCCCCGGGAAGGCGCGCGCTCAAAGGGTCCCGGGCGGGGAGCCGCTCCTCGGAGGGGAGAGGGAGGCCCCTCGCCCGAGAGAAGCCCGGCCGGAGAGCAGGAACTCGGTACGTGGGGCCGGAGGGGAGGCCGTGGGGGTCCCGCTCCAGTGGGGAGACGGGGGGGAGGCCCCTCGCTGTCCCGCGACCCCAGGCGGCTGCCCCGGGAGGTCTGCAGGGCGCCCCTCGAGCGGCCCCCGCGAGGAACCGGCCCGGGCGAAGCCGGGGGGAGGGCAGAGCCCGAGCCGGGGGGTGGGGGACGCGGGGCAGCGCTTCTCCTCCCGGTGCCTTGAAGCCGGCGGGATTCCCGCCAAGGAAGCGGCCCTTTGCCTTAGGGCGCATCGCTCTCCCGCACAGTAATTCTGCTGGGATCTTTGTGTTACGGCATGTCGTGCACTGGCTCTGTGCATTTGCCGAAGGTCAATAGTGAAAGGACTCCAGGCCTTCCCTCCCACTTTAGGCGTCTTTGAGCTTTCTATTCAATGTAGTGCCAGGCGCAGTGCAGGGGGGCGGCTTCCATCAGGGACATGGTGTGTGGAAGCGCACGAGGGTCCCTGGAAAGCAGCGCAGCAACTATGCCCATGGGGGTGAGAAGCTTTGTGGAGGGGAGGGGGAGACAGGCCCTGCCAGAACCATGCAATCCCAAGGTTGCTTCCCCCCCCTCTCACTGGAGACCCTGCAGGAGACCCTAGTCTTCTAGACCTGGCCTAGGGAAAGCCAGGAAACGGTCTGTAAAGACACGAAGGGCAAAGCCCTGGGGGAAGGGGAACTGGAGATCCTCTGCTTGCTTCCAGGGGACTTAGCAAGTGGCCCAGCCCAGCATTCGTTGGAGGAAGTTGGCCACGAGCCGGGTGGATTAGTTGGAGGAAAGGGGGCCTGGATGGGGGTGTTCAAGATGATGCCTGTGGTGGAGAAATGAGGAGGGAGACCTTAACCCCCTTTCCTTTAGTCTAGAACCCAAAGGAGTCATCCCAGAAAGCGAAGAGTGTGAGATGTCGGACAGAACCAGGATCTAGCACTCCACTCCCATGGTGGCAAAGCAGCTTCCCAGAGGATCCCTCAAGCAGGATCGGTGCAAGACCTCCTCCTGCCCAGGCTCCTCAGCAACTGGTGTGTGCAGCCATGGTCCATCTGGTCACAGAGGCAGCATTCAGCCAGCTGGGCGAGCAGCCACCGATGGCCTCCTCCCTCCCGAATCTGTGCAGTCTCCTGTTGCAGCCATCCAAATTGGTGGCCAGCAGGACTTCTGGCGGCAGCCAATTCCGTATTTTAGTTATAGGATGTGCCAAAAAGTAATTCCTTTTGTCTGTCCTAAACCCCAGCCCAATCAGCTTCATGGAATTATTTAGCGTTTGAGTGTTACGGGAGAGGAAGAAAATTGTCTCCCTGCCTTCTTTCTCCATACTATCCGTTATTTTCAACATCCCTATCCAGTCTTGCCTGACTCGTCTTTGTCTAAGCTGATATGTGCCCTTTTGGGGGACCTGCTACAGACCCCTGATCATTTCTATTGTTGAGCCCTTGTAAGGACATATCTTCCAGCAGATAGTGAACCTATGGAGTTTCCTGCCACAGGAAATTGTGAGTGGTGACTGACAATGCAGACACTGTAAACAAGGATGTGAGGAAATCAGGCAAGAGAAGGCTGTGCGTGGCTACGAGGCCTTGTGGCTCCTTGTTGGCCACTAACTCGGGGGGAGTACGCTGGGGTGCACCACTTGGTGGGGGCCTTGGGTGGGAGGAGGCAGTTGATCACGCAGGATCCATGTGGGTTTCCCATGGGCCTAGAAGAGTAGAGCCAGAAGGGACCCCTGACCCTCAGGACCACCCCCAAGTTTGACCCTGGAGGCTGGCCATGGTGTGAGCAGCATGCTGGAGAGGGTCCCGTGGTCTTATCCAATGTGGCTCTTCTTACGTCTGTCTTTAGAGTAAATCTGTGCCTTTAAGCCAACTGGGTGACTTTGGGCCAGTCACAGCCTCTCAGCCCAACCTACCTCACAGGGTTGTTGTTGTTGTGGGGATAAGATGGAGGAGGAGAGAAGATGTAAGCTGCCTTGAGCCCTTTGTAGGAAAAAGGCAGGATCGCAATATAAATAAATAAATGAATGAATAAATGTGCATGAGGTGCATATGCTAGAAGTGAATGGCAATCAAGTGCCTGTTTCTAGCGAGTTGGGTTTTGGGGGATGTTTGAAATAGGGTCTGGGGTTAGGTTGACCATGAGAATATCTGTGTTTTCCTTCCTTCCTACAGTCTTTTCTCTCAACAAAGAACCGGCAATGCAGCAAGAGCCCCTTCAAGTCCTTCTGAGAGCAGAAATGGAGAGTGGAGTGATGAGAGAAGGTGGCTTGGCTGGCTGTGAGTTAGGAATCGGCTCCCATGAAATTCTCCAAGGGAGCAGTATGGTACTCTGGGAAAGAGGCACGCAGGAGGACATCGGGAGGAGCAGACTCAATTTAGATGAGGCACGCCAGCGCTTCCAGCTGCTGGACCCCTACCTGGAGGCAGAGGGGCCCCGAGCAGTGTGCAGCCGCCTCCACCATCTCAGCCGTCAGTGGCTGCAGCCAGAAAGCCACACGAAGGCTCAGCTGCTGGACCAGGTGATCCTGGAGCGGTTCCTGGCCATCCTTCCTCCATGGCTGGAGAGCTGGGTGAGGGAGTGCGGAGCAGAGACCAGTGCCCAGGCGGTGGCCCTGGCCGAAGGCGCAGTGCTGAGCCAGGCAGAGGAGGCGAATCAGGAAGAGGAGCAGGTGAGCGCTTTTCCTCCTCATAATTCCAAGGGGCTACGACTTTAAAACTCCCTCCCAGTGGCCTGGTTTTGATGCCTGTTTCTCAAGGGTGCTCCAGTTTCCCATGTCTCCCTGTCCCACACCACACCAAGCCTCAGTTTTGAACGTGTGGGGCAGGCTCTCTTTGGAGAAGCCAACGTCCTTTCAGTGGGTTCATTCGTTTTGCTTTGCAAGAGGAGAGAGTCCTTTTCATGTAGCGGGAGAATCCTCCTGGTAGGATGAGGACCAGCGAATGAACATTGGGAGTTTCACGGGATCATTCACCATCCCAGAACTTCTCCCGCCCTGCTGACTGATTCCAGGAGGCTCTTTTCGGCCTTTCCTTCGACCAGGACTGAGCCATCAAGCCCAGCAAAGGGATCCTTCCCTGCTCATCTCACTTCCACTCAGCCTGGGCTTCTGCAGGGCACCCTGAGGAGCAGGCCTGGACTGCACAGCCGCTGGGAAGTTCTGCCTGCCCCTTGCAGCACCATATTCTCCTTTCCTGATCCCTTCAGCCTTCCTTACCTGGGATCCACATTGCTGTTCCAGGTTCAGCGAATATTGGGCAAAGCAGCTGCAGATTTCCCCGAGGCAGGAAAGGTTCTGCCAGATCCCACACTCGGGCTCCTGTTGAGGGGGATCGTGCAAGAGGTGGACAGGGGACCCCTATCTCCGGGTGAGGGTGAGTGGGCCCATGGTAGCCTCATCTCCCATCTGCTTTGCCGAAATTGCCTGAGCTGCTTTAAGGTTCTCTTGAACTGCCTTTGGGGTGGGAGGAAATTCTTTTGCAGTAAACATAGGAACAGAGCGAGTCAGAAGGGGCCTCCCAGGCCACACAGTTTGACCCCTGGCTCCTGCCGGCTCTGGTCGTGGGATACCTACCATGTGCATGTCCAGCTATCCTTGATACCCTCACCGATGGGGCTTCAAACATCTCCCGTGGAAGCCAATTCCATACCCTCGGGGTCCTAACTGTCAGGATGTACATTTGTGCATCCATATTGAACCCTGATTCCCTGAGCTTTGCTCCATTTGAATGCATCCTGCCCTATTCCATAGGGGAAAACAGGTCTCAGCCCTCCTCTGTGTGACATACCTGAATGTCGCCAGTAGATCCCCTTTCAGGCTCCTCTTCTCCAGGCTGGAAAGACCCAATTCCCTCAGTCTCGCCTCATATGGCTTTCCCTGCAAACTGGCCACCAACCTTGTGTCCCTACGCTGCACTGACTCTAACCTGGCTACATCCTTTCTGTAATGAGGGGCCCAAAATGAGCACAATACTCCAGTTGCGGGCGCACCAGAGTCGTGTAGAGTGGAAGTAATGCCTCTCTTGATCTAGAAGCCACATTTCTGGCTGTGCAACCAAGGGTGGCGTTTGCCCTCTTGACTGCTGCATTGCACTACTGACTCATGTTCAGCCTGCAATTGACTAGCACCCCGAGATCCCTTTCACAAGTGCTGTTCTCCAGCCACTTGTCCCCTAACTTGTACTTATGACACCCATTTCTATTCCCCAAGTGCACTTATCCACATTGAACGCCATTCTGTTGTCTCCTACCCACGTCCATAGTCTGTCCAGATCCTTCTGGATCCAGAGTACCTGCTCCTCAGTTGTGGCCACTGCCCCTGTTGGAGTATCATCTGCGAATTTGATCAGCAGACTGTTCACCCCTTCTTCCATGTTGTTGATGAAAAGATTGAACAGGATCGGTCCCAGGACAGAGCACTGGGAGACCCCTCTTGTCACTGGCTGTCATCCTGATGATTCCCCACTAATAGTTACTCTGATTTCAGTTTGTCAACCATGCCCTAATTCATCGGACAGTGCACAGGTCTCTCCCAAAACTCAGTACCCTCAGTTTCTCAACTAGAATATCATGGGGCACTTTGTCTAAGGCCTTGCTGAAATCCAGGTATACCACATCCACTGCATCCCCTCCATCTAGCCATCTCGAAACCTTGTCATAGAATTCCACAAGGTTCGTCTGGCAGGTCCTGTTTTTGCGGAAGCCGTGTTGCATGGCCATCAACCTCCCTTCCCTATCTACAGGTAATAGCTCTCCCCCTTTTATGAGCCTTTCCATCATCTTCCCCAGAATGGGTGTGAGGCTAACTAGCTTGTAATTCCCCATGCTTCCTCTATCATCCTTTTTGAAGATTGGGACCACTGACGCCACCCTCCAGTCCTCTGGAACCTCATCTATTCTCCACAAGTCCTCAAAAATGGGGGCCAACAGCCACGGGAGTACCACCAGCAACTCTCGAAGTACCCTCGGGTATAACCTGTCATGCCCTCATGCCTTTGTAATGTCCATTGCCCTGAGGAGCTCCTTGATTTCTAGGGGGTGACTCTAATCTGTGCCACTAAATCCCTGGTCTCATCCAGTCCCCCATGTACATCATCCTTGTTCTGCTTCGGGGAGAACACAGAGACATCTGAATTGTTCCCTCACATTAGTCACCAAACTGCGTTCCTGTTTATTAAGTGGCCCCTCCCTCTGTCTCCCCTTCCTCTTGCTCTTTACATGTTGATAGAAGCCTGGATATTCTTCGTAAGTCTCAGCTCATAATCAGCCTTAGCCTTTCGAAGAATCTTGCTGTAAGATTTCCTGCAGAGGTTCCTGTTATGTCTAATTCCTCTTATCAGTAGCTACTCTATAACATGGAAAAGCAGTTTGTTTAGCAATACAGATGAACACATTGGATGATTCGACACAAGAAACTAAATAATGAAATGTTCTCCAAGGACACAGTTTCTTCTCTGATCTCTTTCCTGCCCTTAGAAAAGGGAATGACCTGCAGGGATGATGAAGTGACACTGAGCGTTCCTCTGAGGCCTCCTTCGGTTTGTGGTGGAGTGGAGACACCATCCCTGCATGCAGAAAAGGTAGGAGAGGCCTGAGCGCCTTTGTCGCTCCCCCGGCCCTGGCAGAATCAGCCCTTTGCCTTTGCTTCTGTCCCAGGAGGAGGATCGGAGGCTTCCGGAATTACTCGTGGATCCCGGATCCCGCAGGGGAACCTCCAGCCCCCTCCCCACCGCCGTCTCCCTGCACTGCGGTGATGAACGACTTCCTCTTCCCCAGGGTGTGACGAGCCTCGAGGAGGTGGCCGTGCATTTCTCGGAGGACGAGTGGGCCCTGCTGGACGCTGGCCAGAGGGCTCTGCACCGGGAGGTCACGCAGGAGATCCTGGCTTCTCTGGGTGAGGAGTGCGGCCCCTCCAGATGGGGCTGCTTCTTTCCCTCCATGATAGATCCTGGATGGTGAAATTCCTGGCATAGTTTCTGCCTAGTTGGCATTTGTGTGGGTGTCCTTGAGGTCGGCTCTGGTATGTCCATCCATGGTAATATATAGGCTGACTGTTCCTTTTCTTCTGAGACACAAGGCAGCATTGCCAAACACAAAATTCATCTCAGGCATAGATTCATGGAAAACAGTGACGAAGCCAGCAAGAGTCTAGCCTGGCTGGTGGCTTCAAAAGACGCCGAGCCATCCAGAAGGCCCATCGGAGTCGAATGCCCACTTTCCCATTCCTGGGTCACTCGCCAGCCGGTACAAAATGGCAGGTCTCGCTGTCGATTCTGGCTTCTTGTGATTTACAGATTTTTATTGTCTTCCTTTACCATTGGGGCACCATGTGGGATACCTCTGAGGAGACAAACCCATGCGCAAGGGCGTGCCTCCTCCCCTATTAGTATCATCCCATTACTGTAATCAGCAACCCACTGGGTTTTTTCTGTGCATTGAGGAAGATTTCCCTTTTTCTTCTTTCAGCGGATTGCAGGGGGAGCAATAGAAACGGTGTGCACCAAAGACAGGAAACTACACAGAAAGAAAACTGGAAAAATGTGTCCATTTTTTCTGAATGGTCAGAATTCTGTGATGTTCCAATGGCACAAGCACTTTCTGAAGGTGGCAGAAGCAGTATTTGCAATGAGGAGAAGAGTTTCATGTGCTCCAAGTATGCAGAGGAATTCACTGGCAGCTTAGAGCTTAATAAAGAAAAAATAATTCACGTGGAGAAGCGTTATAAATGTTCAGAGTGTGGAAAGCAGTTCTCTTGGCCCTGTTATCTTAAGTGGCATCAAAGGACCCACACAGGGGAGAAGCCGTATAAATGCTCAGAATGTGGAAAGTCCTTTGCTTTGATCTCAGGGCTTAACAGACATAAGGTAATCCACAGAGAAGAGAAGCCCTTCCAGTGCTCAGTGTGTGGAAAGGGTTTCAGTCAAAAGGCACACTGTAAGGCCCATCAGAGTACCCACCTCGGGAGGACGGCCTGCTCTGAGTGTGGGAAGAGCTTCCTTGATTGCGAAAAGTTGAAACAGCATCAAAGAATTCACACTGGGGAGAATCTGCACAAATGTTTGGATTGTGGAAAGAGTTTCTCTTGGCCCTCTCACCTTAAGGTGCATCAAAGAACTCACACAGGGGAGAAGCCATGTAAATGTTCAGAATGTGGAAAGGCCTTTGCTCGGAAATCACAGCTTAATGCGCACAAAGCAGTCCACACAGGGGAGAAACTCTTTAAGTGCTTAGCCTGTGGGAAGAACTTTGCTGCGAAAGCACATCTTAGGAAACATAAGGTAATTCACAGAGAAGAGAAGCCCTTGCAGTGCTTATTGTGTGGAAAAGGGTTCAGTCAGAAGGTACAGCTCCAGGTCCATCAGCATACCCACGCTGGGGAGAAGCCATACATTTGCTCTGAATGTGGGAAGAGCTACCTTGATTTCAAGAAGCTTAAACAGCATCATAGAATTCACACAGGGGAGAATCTGCATAAATGCTTAGAGTGTGGGAAGGGCTTCACTTTGCGCTATCAACTTAAGTTGCATCAAAGAAATCACACAGGTGAGAAGCCATATAAGTGCTCAGAATGTGGAAAGGGCTTTGCTCAGAAATCGCACCTTAACTCGCATAAAGTAATTCACACAGGAGAGAAGCCCTTTCGGTGTTCAGTGTGTGGAAAGGATTTCATTCAAAAGAGACACCTTAAGGTACATCAGGATACTCACACAGGAGAGAAGTCCTTTCTGTGCTCAGTGTGTGGAAAGGCTTTCAGTCGAAACACAAATCTTAAGGAACATCAGAGAATCCACACAGGAGAGAATCCCTTCACCTGCTCTGAATGCGGGAAGAGCTTCCTTTATTGTGGAAGGCTTAAACGACATCAAAGAATTCACACAGGTGAGAAGCCATATAAGTGCTTCGACTGTGGAAAGGCCTTTAATCAAAATGCATCCCTTCTAAGCCATTGCAGAACCCACACATGGGCGAAGCCGTATAAATGCTTAGAGTGTGGAAAGTGTTTCAGTCGGAGCATGTACCTTGAGGAACATCAATATATACACACAGGGGAGAGACCCTACCAGTGCGTCAACTGTGGGAAGAGTTTTCGTAGTGACAGGTATCTTAAACAGCACGAAAGAACCCACACAACGGAGAAGCCCCATGTATGCCCAGAGTGTGGAAAAAGCTTCCGTCAGAGTTCAGACCTTAAATATCATCAAAGTGTACACACAGGGGAGAAACCCTACAAGTGCTCTGAGTGTGGAAAGAGCTTCACTCGAAGTCGCAGCCTTAACAGTCATAAAAAAATTCATACTGGATTGAGCTGTGTAGATGTTCAGATCGCAGAATGAGTTTCCAGGATAGTGAAAATGTGTGTTTTCAGCAAATCTGCACACATGAACATTTGTATATGCCTAGTGTGCAAGAGTGCAACCTCAGTTGTGTGTGGTGCTGTGTTGTTGTTTTTCAAATGCTTCCTTTTTTGAAAAGAACAAGCATTCAGAAACAAATTTAACATTGTCAATATTCCTTTCCCCTCCACCTGTAGATTGAATTACTTAAAATAGTCTACAGTCCTCCTGGGTGCATGTTGGTTATACAGAAACTATTAGCATAATAACTTGCTGGCCCTATCCTCCCATATTCAATTACAAAAAAGGAACACACCAGGGATGCTCATTATCTCCACTTCTGTTTTCCCATATATTGGAAATTTTAGCCACAAAAATAAGATTCAAAAATGAAAGGCTTGAATGTAGAAAGAAAAACATTCAGAATGAAAAGTTATGCGGATGATGTACTGACAATTTTAAATCCTCATCTATCAATACAACATATAATAGATCAAATTGAAAAAATGCATCTATTTCTGTTATAAGTAACAAGAATGAAATGAAATTTTAAAGTTTCGAACAAAATGAAAAAGAATATTTTAGAACTTTTAAGATGTGAAATAACTTTTAATCTATGCAAGTGTCTGGGAATATCTTACTCAACATAATGGTACACTGTTCCACAACAATTATAATGTGGATAAAGATCCAAAATGATCCACACAGATGGTTTAAATTAAAAATGTCTTGACTGGGAAGAAGTTTTACCATAAAATTAATGTTCTCCCAAAGTTGACCTTTTTATTTTCGGCAGAACAAATTTTAATACAAGGGAAAACCATAAAAGAATGGCGGACACCTGTAAACTTTTATCTGCAATGGGGAAAAAACCCCAAGATTTAGAGTTAAAATACTGCAAGATGGAAAAGAAAGAGGAGTCCAGCACTATCCCATATCAAATTATACTGCTACACAGCTGGATTGGTTTGAGTTACAGATGGCATTAAAAATCCTGATTATGCAGGCTAATAAAACTGGAAATGGCAGCTCTAGAAGGAGAACTACATAAATACCATTAAAAAGATCTAACTCAAGATAAAAATAAACCATTAGAGATGATCTGAAAGGAATTTGGAATATTTTACGGAGGATTGGCCTTCCTATTTGATGTCTCCAGTAGAAGCATATTGTGACATTTAAGGAAATACCTTGTTTTCATAACATATGGGGATATGATGGATCAACAAGGAAGAATCAAGTCTTTGCAAACATTGATGAAGGAAAAAGAATGACTTTATTTCTTACTGGTCTCAAGACTGAGGAAATTTAACAAGGAAGAGGTACTGTAAGAGATCTGGCAGATTGAAAAGTTTATTTCACAGCAAAAAGATGTGCATGGAGTTACAAGTTTTAAAAGTTTTGGAAAGGCATACTTACAGAATATTTTGAAAATTAACTTCATGCATGCTAAGAATATGCTATTGAGTATTCTACCAGAAACTCTTGTGAGAAATACGGGAGAATTATTTAACTATATAATAACAGCAGTCAGAATTACATTTACAACAAAATAGAAAACTGAAGGCTGTGCAACTAGAGAATATTGGAAAAAAGCTAGGTAAATGTGAAATGATGGCAAAATTAATAAGCTATGTAATCAGAAGACTGCTCTAAGATTTTAATGATACATGGGAAGCTTAGTATGCAGATTAATAAGTGAGACAACAAAGAGATCTTAACTAAGGGTGATTAAGCTGATACAAGTTTTAATAACTCATAAAGGAGAAATCCTGTTAATGAATTTAGTTACCATTGGAAAGCCTATCAATTTTTATCTTATTTGTAATGAAGAGAAAAAAAATGGGATTTTTGGGTATCTTTGTTTTCTGAAAGAAGGAAGGTAAGGGGAAATGAATGGGGAGAGGAAGGGGGAGAGAAAAGGGGGGGGGGAATTATCTTTAGTTCTAATTTGGTTCCTAGCTATGCAATGGGGTGAATCACAGCTTAATGTTTATGTTAAAGCCATTTTCTCTGAACTTATTAGTTGTATTCAGCTACTGACTAATCTATTCAATCAGTATCTATCACTGTGTGTCATAATGTAAAATTGTAGTTACATGTTTAGATGAAAAAGCCTATCAGTGATTCTTTGTAGAACTTGCATTTAGTTTCATAAGCAATTTGAGTATATGGAGCTTTGGAAACTTATTTTGATATTTTGGTTTTTCTTACTGTTTCTTGATACCTTGTTTGAAAGAAAAGAATGTAGTGGATATCCCATGCGATGTGAAACAGCAGAATTTACTAATTGTTATTTGATTTCTGAGTGGACTCTTATTTCAGTTCACATCTTTGAGTCTGTAGAAACAAGACTGCATAGCAGGAAGTTATGAGTTCGTGCTCTGAGCACCTGTCTATTGTCTCCTTGCGGGCTGTGCTCGTCTTCCAGTTCTGACAGCTGTGGCCAATTCGCTGCACACCCAGCGAGAGCTGACGAGGCGGTGGACGGGTCATCCATGTGCGCCCCGGAGCCTGCACCACCACGGGGTATTCCAGGCCTCCTGCCAGTGAGGCAGTGCACCTCCTGCGCCCGGGCAGGATCTGTTGCTCCCTGCTGTGCGCTCTCAGGGGCAGTGCCTGAGTGCTTGGCAGTGCAGTGGGGCAGAGAGCTCGTCTCTCCTGGCACCCCTGTGGACAAGAAGGGTGCGCTGCCCCTTTCTCACAGCACCCCCTGCAGGAGTTGCAAGGGAAGTGTTGAGGTGCATTCACAGGGAGCCCCGGAGAGCGCCACAGTTCCAGAGTCGAATGGGTGCCGTTTCTCACAAGCTGTGCACAGAAAGTGCAGGCATGGCTTCCAGCGAGGGCAGGGAGGACGGTGCCCCTGGCATGGTCCTGGGAAGGTGTGCGCCCAAAGGGTCCAGGGCACGGTTGCAGGTCTGTGCAGGCCCCCCCCCCCTTATGGCTGCTCTGGGCTCTGCAGGGGACCCTCCCCTTACACCCCCCATGGGAATCCTGACCAGGGGGAGCAGGAACATCATATGTAGGCCCTGGAGGGGAAGGCCGTGGGAGGCTCCTGTGTCCTTCCTCCAGTGGGCTTGGCAGTCAGGATGGCCCCTGTGGCAACAATCGGGAGTGGATAGAGGCATTCAGAATCACATCTCCTGCAGAGAAAGGGGTGAAGGGCTATTTCTTCCAACGAAATCTGTGGGGGTCCTGCCCCCTCTGGTGCACACTTTTGGGGAGAGAAGAGGGGAGACCCCACCGTGCCATGTGACTCCCAGGCAGCTGCCCCACGAGGCCTATAGGGGACACTCCTCGTGCTGTTGTCTCCACTCCACCACAGACTGGAGTCCCAGCGTTCCTTCATCCTCCCTGTGAGTCATTCCTCTTCCTAAGGTCGGGGAAGAGAGATGGGAAGAAACTCTGTTCTTGAAGAACACTTTGTTGTTTAGGTGCTTATGTGCAATCGATCTTTTTCCAAATTGCAAAACAAAACTGCTTGTTCAATGATTTAGAGCAGATACAAGAGATGACTTTTCTCTCACAACCAGGGATGCACAAGAGAACCTGCTCAGGCACTTTGGGCAGAGAGCAGAGGGGAGGCACAGCTGATAGAGGCCCCCCTCCTCCTTACCCAGGGAGGTGAGTCTTCCAGTGCCCTCCTGCACAATCTCTCCGAAAAGCAGCCCCACTGGGGGATCCGAAGGAGCTTCCTGCTGCAGGGAATTCGGTAGCTGCTTTGTGCAATATTTGTGGATCCTGGAACAGCAATGCGGATCCCAGTTAAGGAAGGGTTGGAGGGATTGGGAAGAAGGTGGTGAGGCATGTGCCAAGCGGTACTTCTCAGTGGGCTTGCATCTCTACTTCTAGGGCTGTTCTGGCCTCCAAGCCCTACAGCTCCCCAGGCAGCATCTTTAACAAGGGAGTCTAGAAGGATCTGTGCACTAGGACTCTTGCTCAACCCTGGTCTAAGTAAAGGTCTAAACGGCCTCCTGAAACCAAGCAGCAGAGAGGGAGATGCTCCATGATAGTTGCTGATCTGCAACTTTCTCTGATATTTTGCCAGGTGGCCTTCCCCTTTTCTACAACAGAACATAGCCACGGAAGTGTGGGTGAATCCTCCAAAAGCGATCCCTTGTTCCTCCATGCACATGGTGAGCATGTCGTGAACGGAGCCGGCTGAAGCCGGGGGTCAGACTAGATGGCCAGGGAGGCCCCTTCTGACTTGCTCTGTTTCTACATTTCCAAGTCCTGGATAATGGAGGCAAGGCTCTCCATTTGCTCTTTAGCCAAGGGATGTTGCTTCCCACTGGAAAGTTGGGTTTGTATTTGATTTTAACAGGCACCACTTTAAGGAGACTGGTCTCATTGGGGCATGTGGTCCATACATGAACTGAAATGGTGGTCAGCTCCAGTACCCTTTGGAAAATATCAGCCAGCTCAGCTCTTTCCCCCCAATCTGCCAGCAGCATGAGTAGAGAGGGGACAGAGTGCTGTGGCAAATCAACCAAAATCCCATCAGGTTGACAGTAGATGGTAGCTCCTAATTTGCAGAGGTCTGTCCCCAGCAAATTCACGGGTGGGTGGGGATAGGAGAAGGAATGTTCCATTGTTAATGGGCCAATTGTCACTGGTACAGGCTCGGAGATTTGATGCTGAGCCAGGGTTCTCATCACTCCCATCACTGTCTTGAGTCATTCCCTGCAGTTTCAGACCAGGAACATTGGAAGAAACAGTGGAAAAAGTTGTTCCCATGTCCACTAGGAAAGGAAAGGAAGAGTTGGAAAGAGTGTGAGAAAGAAAAGATTCAGGTCCCAAACTTCCAGGTGACCATTAGTTCAGATCTTCTGCTTGAATGAATTGCCCTCAAGGAACTGCCTGAGGAAACTTGGTGGGGTGCACTGGGGCTGGTTGTTTAGGGACCAATGCTGGTCTGTGGTTCCCTGGTCTTGCCGCCTTGCATTCCACCCTCGTGCCCTGCCTTGTGGCACAGAAAACAAATTATGGGAGGTTTCATAGTTGATGGACGAGGTTTTGCAGGTATGCCATGGAAATACTCTCGAGGGGCCGGTTGGGAGCCATAAGTGTAATCCCTCTGCCTCATTTCCAGCTGAACTGCTGCCAGGGTGTCTTTAGCTTCGTAATGTACATTACATTGCAATTACTAGCTTACATTACAATTACTAGCAAAAAACTACCATCACTATGAAAAAACACACTTTTGCTCCTCTTTGGCACCTCCATCAGCTGCTCAGAGTCCAACTCACCAATCTAAAGCCACAGATGCTGAAAAATACCAAAAATATCTACAATCGACTCTTTTGGCAATACAAACATCTTTAACAGCTATGCAAGCATCCCAAGAGGCTATGCAAAATTCTATATCAAAATTAAGCTTAGAACAGAGGAATATATTAGCAGAACAGAGGAACATGTCAGCTGAGCAGAAGAACTTTGCAAATGAATAGAGAAAATGTCTTGACGAATTGGACAGCTCTGTTTAGGATGTATCAAACCAACTGGCAGATGTTTGACTCAAAACTGAACAGAATACACAAAAAATGCATGCCCATGA